CCCTGCCTGGATCGTGCGCTCGCTCCCTTCCCGGGGACACCGCCAAGCTGAAGGATCTTCTGCGTCAAGCTGGAGCGGCTGGGGTTCCCTCATCTCCCGCGGAGCGGGCTCAGCCCGAGGGGAGTGTCCACAGGCAGCTGCCGCCACCGGAGCCACAGGGAGCATCCAGACCCAGGACCGGCGGTATGGGGTGGCCGCCGCCTGAGAAGCCCGACGAGTGAAAGCTGAAGTGTTTCGTCTTTATTTCCCTCGGCTTTTTATAGTATGCTGCCACCTTATCATTTTGTTAACACCGGTGTAATTCCAGCTAAGAATAGCTTTGAGGATTGAAACAAGCCGTCCCAAACGGGTGTCTTCCCCTTCCCAACATCTTTGGATATCCTGATCTCAGTGTGATTTGACGCCGACTTAACATTTTACCTTATGTATTCTAATTTACAGAGGCTGTCCAGTTTTGTCTTGACTATGTGAATCTACCTGTAAATCTGTGAAAAGAGTCTCTGAAACTCTGAGAGGGGAATTAGATATTTCTAGAAACTACTGTGCCAATTTGCTGTCTCGCATACCAACCATAGTGATATTTCACAGAAACCCCATTTGCCTATCAAAGAATCATTAAATCGGGCCCAAGACGGAACAACTCGAACCACGGGGGCCTTTCCATACGCTACCGAGTTAATAGATCACCTTTTAAATGTAAGCAGATGGAGTCTTAGTTTAAAGGGTGGTGGGTTAAATTCACGACAGCTGTACTGGCATTTATTTTTCTGAGGGCCCACGTTTGCCTACCGCAGTTTGAGTTCCCGTCAAAGGTGTCAGTTAAAGAGGGTTTGTTTTGTTTCATTTAATTTGGTTGCTCTGAAATGAGTGCCCGCAACTGTACCTTTCTCGTCGTGCGTCGGCGTGGCCGTGACGGGGATGTCAAACCACTGCGCCAGAGGGTTGGAGTACCAGACGGTGAGCTCCTCTCCCGGCTGGACATCTCGCAGCGCCCGGTAGAAAATCTGGAGAGATAAGAAAGAAAACTTCTTCAGGAATCTTGAGAGGGAAGGCAGGTGGCGGAGAGAGGTGCCATGCCAGCGCGGAGCCGCGCGTGGGGTACCTGTCCTCCTGGCAGATCCGCAACAGCTTCCAGTGTCTGCTCTTGGGAGTTTCGGGCAGCTCGGATTAACCCTATCCACTCCAGAGCTGAGCTCCCGGCTTCATCCACTAATTCCCCTCTGACCATCCGCACCTGGAAAAAAGGCGGCACCGCTGTAATTTTCACGTGAAACGAAACACGAAGAGACCAAAAAGCTTACCCGTCCCCCTGCCTGCCTGCCCGCCCGCTCTGCCTAGCCCATCGAGCTGCTTCCCTACACTAGGCAGTGAGCTGAGCATCGCAGCTGAAAGCAGAGGCGAGAGCATCTCCTTTTGCCGCCCGTTTAACGCTTCCATCCACATCCACCTTTGGATAGGGCATTCGCCGGCTCGCAGGTGCCTTGGGAGAGATTCGGCTGCCCTAGCGGGGGTTGCAGCTCTGCAGGGCAAGGATGGAACACCCTGTGCCCGGCGAGGGGAAAAGTGATTTTTCCCTTGGGTCGCATTGATCCAAACGCACCTTATCCACTCGCAGCTGTTACATTTCGCTTAACGCTATATTAAATGCCCTGCTAAGATTTTTTGTTTGTTTGTTTAGAGTTTGTGTAGTCTCTGAGTCCGTGCAAAATCATTGCGACATCAAGGACTTGTCGGGAGATGGGGAGGGGGAAAGGGGAGAAGATTCTGCTTAGCTACGAAATCCCTGTAGCCCCATACTTCATAATCTGTTTGCCCATACAAAGAGAAAATGAAGTGCCCATTCCCTGAATGACCGTGCAATAAAAGTCATCGGAACAAAGCAGTCTAAAGCGAGAAACCAAGGGAGCCAGATGAGAAATAAATTTGAGTGGGCTGGCAGAGCGTTTAAAAACAATTAAAGTGCATTAAAAATCAGAGCGGAACGCGTGAGCCGCGGCTGCCCGGGGGGTGAAAGGAGGGGTCTCATCGGCAGCCCCCTGAAGAGCCTGATGGACGGGGCGAAAGCCCTTCACCTCCTCCTCGCTCCTTCGTTCGGACATGGACTGACCCCGAAGCCGGTAGCCGGGTGGCCGTCATCCCTCCCGCTCCGGCTGTGCGGGTTGTTTGCAGCCCCGGGCGGGGAGGTCTCCCCGAAGCTTTGAGGGGAGGTCGAGATGCGCTGTGCTGCCCCGACACCTACGACCTGCACCCCGACGCCGTCTCCGAGGTAGCCCCGGCCCTCTCGCCCCACACTGCCTTCAGGCCCAAGCCAAAGGACGCGCGGCCGGGAAGAGGGATTGGGAGCACGAACCCGAGCCAAACGCAGAAATAAATTGGGGCAGCTGCCTCTGCCCTGCTCCTTCCCGGGACAAAACCCAAACCCGGAGGCTGTTTTGCCTCGTGCTCCCGCCTCGCCGGGGCTCCAGGAACGAGGAGCCGGCCGTGGCACGTCCTGGCTCTACCAGGAAAAGGGGCAATACCCTCAGTGAGCGGAGCGCCCGGGGGCGGGGGCTGGGTGGCGGGACCAGGGCCCTCCGACACCGGGCACGGGGCTCAGGAGACGCTTCCAGCACGTCTATGTCCAAGGCGGGGACGCGTCCGCTCCTCTGGGAGAGCCCCCGTGTCCTCACCCCGGAGGCCGGACGGGCTAGGGGCCCCGGCACTGGGGAGGAGAGGGAGAGGGCACGGGCGGGCAGGCTTTCCTGCCAAAACCACGGGGAGACATCTCAGGACGTTCTGGAAATGCTTTTCTTTGCTTTCCTGGCTCGCTCTAAGAAGGGAAGATCGAAGAGAGACGGGGAAGAGCAGTCTCTTCTCCCAAAGCCGGCTTCCCCCGAGTCAACGAATAATCAAGGTCCAGCGGTGCAGGAGAGACCGTAGGAAAATACCTTTTTTTTGGGTCCTGGCTCCTTGCGGTCTGACAGGTACTTGCCCAGTTTGAAGGTGCCCGGCACAGGACCCAGGCGCAGCCCAGCCGGGATGCAGCTCTCCGCGCTGACGCTGATGGCCGGAGCCCTGCTGGTTTGCATCGCTGCCGCTGGGTGTGAGCTCTCGGGAACCCCAACTACTTAAGGGGGCCGGAGTGACAGCGGCAGGCGGCGGGAGGATGAGCACAGGCGTATCTCCGCCTGCAGAGTGACGCGGCGCTGTGTGGATGCCGGCTTTTCAACGGGAGCAGGAGGGGTACCCCTTGGCAGGGGGATGCTCTGGGGCGCAGAGTTTGGTGAGAGAGTTTGGCTCCTCGAGCAGCTGCGGAGTCCCATCCAAGAGGGTCACATGGAGCCTTTCCCTAACCCTCCTGCATAATCAGGCGGAGTGAATGGCTGGCAGACAATGGGCCAGGCGACCTTCCCATTCCTAAAAATCCAATTTGTCAAGGGCAAAGAAAAGGCTCTGGTGAATCAAAGGTCTGGAGGGACCATTAATCCTCAGCATGGGGTATTGTCCCCGAGACAGTTACGATATTTTAAGTGACAAATCCACTGTATAATTTCTCCATAAATTTTACTTCCTTTTATTGTTCCTCGACAAACCAGTTTTGGAAAATAAGTGACTATTTTAAGTCTACTTGGCTGAGCCTTTTGAGGTTTAATATACTTCAAAGATTTTTAATTCTCTTCCCTTGGCTTTATTGTAAAGGAGATTAAACAAAGAGATGGGGAATGTTTTGAGGACTTGTTAACTTCTATTGATTCCCGGCGTGTGCCATACAGAAATTGGGCAGGTACTTGATGGGAAAACACCAGAAAATACCTACACTTTTTTTTTTCTTTTTTTTTTTAGGAACGACCATATTACCATTTCAGTGGTTTGGTTTCAGGCCAGTAATCTGTTTCAGAAGAGCTTTGATCCTTAAGGAGGATGAATAGCACAAAATATGAGCCGCCGTAGCCGCTGTAAAACAGAAACTGCTGCACCTGCGAGTGCTGGGGAAGCTGTGTCTGTAGTTCTTGTGATTAAGAAATAGAGACAGGAGGAAATAGAGACATACAGCCACCAGGAAACAGGCAGGCACGGCCAGCAGATAACACAGATATCTAGCAAACAGTGTGCAGCTGGATTCCTCCTTTAATACCTCCATAAGTTCCTCGCCCACACGCAAAATCTCTTGCACCGAAACCGCTTTAGGAGGTGGAACCTGCAAAAAGCAATAGTAAATAAAGCCAGAACGAAGATATTCGAGCAGAGTGTGCGCCTATGTCCTTCCTCTTCGCATAAATATTTTAATTAAGATACAACGAAGTGCTAGGATTAAGTTATCTTATAATTCAGGCTGGATAAATGTCCCAGAAATTTTTCAGGAGCTGAAAAGGAATGGTGTGCGACTTATTTCTTAAGTGCATGCAACAGTTCAGATGTGGCTGTCAGACCAAGGACACAAATAAATTCAGTTTTCCACTTTCACTTTTATACTCCTGTCTAATTCCTGCTGGCAGGTTTTCTCTGCTCCATGCCTTATGAAACCCTAAAAAGAAGTTTTCTAAAGCTTTCTCCTTTGGAGAAGTTGCAAAGCTGCACATGAGATTTTATCCACTGCTTTCAGAAATAGTCGCAGACATGGAGGGCTTTTTTTTTCCTTTTTTTGTTGATTTTTTTTTTTCCTCGTGGCGTTTTTGTAATAGCCAGCCCTAATACATTTCAGAAGGAAAGCCGAAAAGCTACGCTTAGAGGTACATCTGCCGAGAGACGCCAGGTAACTGAGCGAGCTCTTCTGAAGTAACCCGCTTTCTGCAAGATAAACCTTGGCACGTCGCTTTCTATGTAATTGTGTGCGGGAGCTTTACTCTGGATTCATCTGCTGCCGTCACGAGTGGCACCGCGAGAGCAAAGGCCACAGGGATGCGCACGGGGAACGAGAGCGATTTTGAACCGACACCTCTCACCAGCTGGCGGTCGCATCTTCTTTCCCCTCTCCCTGCCCTTCACCGCGCCGGAAAGCTGTGAAAGCTCAGCCCGGCAAGTCACCGCCGCTGCTGCGATGATATTTGCCCACGCTGGCCGCCGTTCGCTGCCAGCCCGCCCGGTGCCGGCCGGCCGCCTTCCCGGGGCACCGGCGGCCCTCGCCACGGCCGGGGTGAGCCCTGAAGTGTCAGCGCCTCTGGAGAGGGAGGGCAGGGCTGGTCCGGCCCATTCCGCCCTTGGCGCTGCCCGCGGGCGCGGGGAGGGAAGCGCGGGGCTCCCTTGGGCAGGCGGCACTGACAAGGGACGAGGACAAGGATGGGACTGGGCGCTGCCACCGCCCGCTCCCCGGGCTGCCGGCCGGCACTGAGTCCGCGTAGGCTGTGAATGTATTTTTAGTAATGGTCCGTATTGGTGCGCACACGAGATAAATGTCGCGCCTGCCCCACCCCGCGCCTTCCCCCTGCAGCATCAGTGACCATCGATCGCATCTCTCCGGGGTGCAACGCCAGGGACTATCCCGGGAGCAGGGGTGGGTTCGTTTTCACTTCGGCAGGGTTGGGAAGAGGAGGGGGGAGAGGATGTGGGGAACTGAAGATGACCCCTTTGATCAGCGGCATGAATGGGGAAAAAAGGATAAACAAGAAGTTGAGAGCAATAAATTTAAGCCATGAACATGTCCCTGTAACCTCTGGCCTGGCCACTCGAGGATGAGACCGGCTTGAAATTCCGAGAGCCGCAGAGGTAGAGAGAGGGCCTTTAAGGCGACCAAGGTACCCTACTGCTCCGCCTCGGGAGCCGCTCCCTCCCAGGCCTTAATGAGTCAAAAAGCGTGAACGACACGCGAACAATTTTATCAATAGGACCATGTAAAGGCCGACTGTGAGGAAAGTTATTTATTAATATAGCCGATTGTGGCTGGTTCCCATCCACTCAGAGAAGAAAAGCCCTTGCTCTGGAAGCATTCACACCAGTTCTCCAATTTTTATTCTGTCCTGTGGCTCAAAGTTGAAGTTCCCCAAGTGAAATAAATTGTCCACAAAAGAGGAAAGGAACCACATTTTCTTTTATTTTTCCTTCCCTAAAAAGGAAGGGTGAAACCGATCTAATGTGCCCACTGGAGCAAGATGCAGCATGAAAGGCCGGGTGTTAAAAGTAAAAGCAGCCTTTGGAGCAAATGGGATGGAAAATTAAATGAAATTAAATAGCTTGAACGACCGTATTGTCCCTTATTAAAAAGACACATTAATTACATGGTTTCAGCTTTATTCAAAGACAATGTTTAGACTCAATCAAAACATTCCACTATCGCTCTTTATATACTTAAACCGGGCTACCAGAGGCACCATTAAAGAGAAATCACTTTTGCCCAGAGATGCGATGAAAGTTATTTTCCTTGGCGGCCCTTATTTATGCCCACCGCTGAACTGCCGGTGCCCCTGAGTAACACTTTGGCACACTGTTCTCCCTGATTTAACAGGTTGCCCCATAATGAGGCATGAATGTTAAGGAACAACAGTCATCCAAAGAGGCACAGTTGCAGAGAGCAATGTCCCACCAGGGAGCTCCATTCAAACCATCAAACCGCTCCGGCACAGAGAAGGTTCAACACCACATTCAGACCAGCATGAATGCCTGTATACAGGGCCCGGCTCATTATGCCGCAGAGCACCGCAGCGGAGGCTGGAACAAAATGATGCAAGTTCATTCAGCAGGCCATACTCCGGCGGGGCGGCCCAGCCGGCGGCTCCCGGGGTGACCTTTTTCCCAAATGGCTTTGCCCCGACAGGGCTGCCGTCCCCGGGCTGCGGGACGGGACGGTCCGAGACTCTCGTCCCTGCCCGAGCCGGCCGCGAGGCTCCGGAGCAGGTCGATAGGGATGCAAGACACGGGGCGGAGGGCAGGGGGGAGGTTTACTGAGATCCTGAAACACGGAAATCCACATTAAACCGAAGAGACCATTATGAACGTCTGAACGTCGCTTCCTTTAGCATTTTTTTCCCTTTCTCTTTTTCTTTCTTTTCTTTCTCCCTTTCCCCTTTTCTCCGTTCCTCTTTCTCCCCTTTTCTCCACTTCTTCCTCTTGGCCCTTCCCTTCCCTTCCCTTCCCTTCCCTTCCCTT